GACACATCATGAGAAGGCATGAATCATTGAAAAAGACAATAATGTTAGTAAAGGTGGAGGGAAGTAGAAATTAGAGGAAGGCAACATGCTAGCTAGATGGACTTTATTAAAGAGATCATGAATATGAGTTTGTAGGAGCTAGGCAGAGCAGTAGAGGACAGAGGGGTCTGGAGACGCCTCATCCATATGGTGACCATGGGTTGAGATAAATGCAAAGGCAGTTAACAATGAAGACAGCTGCATCTCTGATAAACAAGAAGATGGGTTTTTTTTTCTGTATATAAAGCTCTGGATCAGAGCTCAGACGTATCCTATTACAAATATTTACCTCTAATTTTTTATTTGTAATTAATAAATGAAGAGCCAGCATAGTGTAGTGGTTTGAGTGTTGGACTACAGCTCTAAACACTAGGGTTCAAATCTCTGCTCAACCATGGAAACCCAATGGGTGGTCCTTCAGCCAGTCACATTCTCTCAGCTTCACAGAGAGGCAAAGGCAAAACCCTCTGAACAAATTCTGCCAAGAAGACTGGGATAACTTTGTAATGGGGTCACCATAAGTCAGAAATGATTTGAACAACAATACAATGATAATTGATAAATAATTACTTATTGCATAGGTGTTTGGAAACACTCACATTGGTGCACAAGATCAGGAGCCAGAATTTCTGGCTGTGTGGTTGCAAGCACATTCACAACCATGAGTGTTTAAACTTTTTTTTTTTTTGGCAGAAATTTCCTGTTAACATGGAAATGCCAAGGCTGGAGGGACCAGGAGCCCTCTGCTCCTTCCGTGTAATTCCATTATGTTTTCAGCAAAGCCTTCTCCAGTGATCATGGGTTGGGATATTTATCAGGCTGCTAACATAATTAATGCATGAAAGGCTATCTGGAGATTCATAGCCAGTGGCAATACTGTTTGTGAGATTTTGACAGTTATTGTCTCCTAAAGGGAATTTACCCAAGTTCTGGGACTCACATTACACTTGCTGCATCCTTGTACCTTTCACATTTCTTGAACAAGATTCCTTACCTGTTCAAGATTTGTCTTAAAGCACAGAAGCATTCCTTTTTTGGGGTACTGTGCATGGCCTGGGAGAGGAAAGAGGCAGAAACACCAAGATTCTGATGTTTTTCAGTTCCTTGCTTTGGGGAGATAGATGTGACTTCCTCCTCACAAACAAAGAGTAATTTAGACCAGTCCCCAGCAGATGGAGGCGACTGGAAGTTCAGCCTGTATGTTTTAGATTCAGTGAGTCTTCACTCTATCGTTCATCATCATCAAATGGTTTTTGGTCACTCCAGTTCAGATGCTGTATCACAGCAAACACTTTGCTCAAATGACCTAAAGCATGCCCTTTTAATCCAGCATTTCAGGAAGAACAGACAATAACTTTATCTATAACTAACTAATTGTCATCAGGTTGGCTTTGAGTTATGATGATCCTATGAATAGAAGAATAGGTTCAAATCCTTGCTAGGCTATGGAAACCCACTGGGTGATCTTGGGCTAGTCACATTCTCTTAGCCCCAGAGGAAGACAAAGGCAAAACCCCTCTGAACAAATCTTGGAAAGAAAACCCTTTGGTCGTAGGGTCACCATAAATCAGGAATAACTTGAGGTTACACAACAATAGAACAAGGTATAGAAAATTGTTGATTATTTCAATGTCTTCATCATCAAATTCTTGAGAAAAGCAAAGAAATTTACAGCACAACCCTATATATCTCTACTCAGATGTAAATTCCATTTCATTAGGGCTTCCTCAGTGTGGTTGCTCAGAGCTCACCACAGAAAGCACAGATCTGTAGAAAATTTACACATGCTAATTTCTTTTTATAGATGGAAATATAGAAATAATTACTATATAAACCAATACAATAATGGGGAAAATCATGATCAATAATGGGGAAAATCAGAAGCTGATGGGGAACTTTAAGGTTCCTGCTCTTCCTTCTTGTGGCTCTTTAGTACTGAATCAGAACAAGTGATTCTAGGCTTCATCAATAGAAGTATAGTGAGGGAAGTAATCATGCCACTCTATTCTGCTTTAGTCAGTACTGGACTGGATGGCCCTTGTGGTCTCTTTCAGCTCTATGATTCTGATTCTATGATTATGACACAAGCTCCTGGACTTTTTATTGGCAGGGACAATGACTTTATTGGCATCTTCTCAGACTTCTCTGTTTACTCTGAGCTTAGTTTAGCTGCAATCCTCATCATAACAAGAGGAACAATGGATTTTCCCACAATATTATATTGTGTGAGCTTTACCTGTTGTAAGGCAGATTATTTGGGGAGGTGGTGGTGTGGTCCTGAAAGTGAAGTTTAGACTGATTGGCTTTGCAAAAAATTTGCTCCTAGTGGAGATGGAAATGGCTGGGACGCATTTGTTGATATGGATCCATCCATCTGCCTACATTTTTGGACACTTCTTTGGCCTTAGCAACACTCATTATGTGTGACATTACAAATATTTTGCAGGTTACAATTAATTACTGAATCCTGCTCTGTCTTTGGCGGACTGAGAACTGAAAAGTATGTGGCAGTTCTGTTTATGAACTCATGACATGATGTGCCCTATAATCAGAAGCTTTTGAATAATGGCTGTATGTGCCTTATGTCTAAGTGTGAGACCTGTCTTCACGGTCTGTTCTGTCTAGACACAGATATTGACAATCAAATTGTACTGACATAAGAGGCTTGCATACTTAGCCAGAGGAATTTCAATGATCTTGCCATTTATACTCTCCTTCTAGGCTTTTAGTCAGCTGTTAAATATACCTCTTAAGGTCTACTGCATTACTGCTATGAACAAAACATTATGTTTTGAAACTTGATTTTTTTCTCTTCTAATCAATAATGAAATGTCTGATCATATAAAGAGTGGATGGTGTGTAGAGGAAGGTTGTCAAAACAACAAGTGCCCTTGTTGAAAGCTTGCAGATTTTATATTGTTTAAAGGAACTTCAGAACTAGCATGGTATAATGGATTGAATTCCAGAAAATGGAAACAAGCCCTCTCTCCCATCCCCACCAAACAAATGGAGTATTTGGTGAGAGTTTTTGAGAGTGGCAGGACTGAAAGAAGAATGTCCCTAAAATAATTCATAGCCTATCTATAGGAGAATACAGTCTTAACTCAGGCTGGCCCCAAGCCATATAAGGCTTTATAGGCTATAACTATGGAAGTGTAAAAGAGAGCCAATGTGGTGTAATGGTTTGAACATTGGACTAGAATTCTAGAGACCAGGGTTCAAGTCACCACTCGGCCAATGGAAACCCACTGGGTGATCTTGGGCAAGTCATGCTCTCTCAGTCTTTGAGAAAGACAAAGGCACCCCCAAACAAATTCTGCCAAGAAAACTCCATGATAGGTTTCCCTTTGGGTTGCCATAAATCAGAAGTGACTTGAAGGTGCACAAAAACCACAACTAATTGAAAGAAAGAAGTTGGCAGCATGAGCTTTTGTACTTTTGAATCCAAAAGTAGCCAATGTATCTTAGACTTGTGCATTCTACCTTCCCTTTCACCTTCTCTTTGTGTGTAAGGGGAAGAGATAAGAAGTTTCTATGAATAATTTTTGATGAACCACATATTCTTGATATGATACTATGGCTAATCAACTAGGATAGCTTTCTAGGAAGAGAAGAAGTGTATGAGAGAGGGATATTTTACACACATGGAGTTACATGACTGTTGTAGAAAGCTACCTCACTAGAGAACTATGACACTGAACTGAAATGTGCATTGTGAATCAGTGTACATTAATGTGCAATCATAAGCAATGTCAACCTGCAAGTAACTCTGCTTCTGTAACCTTCAGTTGAATACAGCCATTTCCCAGCCCCACCAAAGTTGTTCACTCCTTGAAGCTGCTTCTGTGCCATCTTTTCACCTACATTTGACTGTAGCTTCATCATTCAATCTATTTCTGTCACAGGAAGCACTGTTTCAACTCTGAAGAAAGAGTAAGAGTTAAACTATACAGTGCATTGTAAGCCTCACCAAGATCCCCTTCAAGTTAGAAATAACTCCCTTCCATTTGCACCAACACATATTTTGTAAAGCCTCCATGGTTGATGCTTAGTGACGTTCCCATCCCTGGTGTCACCCGGTGTGTGGGAGCTGCCAGGGGAGTAGCAGCAGCCAAAAGAATATGCTCAGCCCTCTCCTAGCTCTGCTGTGGTGGCAGAAATCTCCTTGTGAGGAGGCATATGCTGCCATGGCAAAGGCAGGAGAGGGGCTCTCAGCCCTCTCCTTTGCTGTGATGATGGCCTCCTCGTAAGGATGCCTTCACTGCCATGGCTGGCTGGCGGGGGGTACTCAGCCTTCTCCTTTGCCATGGTGGCAGTGGTCTCCTCATGAGGCGGCCTCTGTGGCAAGCTATGAGGCTCAACCAGGTGTCACCCCTCTTCTGTGGTGTCATCCTATGTGGACCGCACCTCCACACCCCCTAGTGATGCCACTGTAGATGCCTATAGGGCAGCAATAAATTTGGGAGATGATTGGGGCAGGAAGCTTAATCCTACCCACTTAGAGTATTTTTTAAAAGTTATGTATACTGTATGTTCCATGTGTCCTGTGGTTTAAACCCTGATGTGGTCTGCCCCTTCTTCTCTTTCTGCTTTATATGCCTGCTTTCAATTTGATTTCACCTTGAACTGCCTTATGCTATTTCTCTGGCTTGTTTAGATGCTTACTTTTATTCCCTGTTGGTTTGTGACTGTGACACTGCCACCCTTGGGATGCCATTTTGTTTTGCATCTAGCAAGAAACTGTTCATGAGGGCAATTCATATACAGCGGATAACAGAGTATATACCACATTCCATTCACATTGAGCCTTAAATATACTCATGTAAAATTAGATACGTGTCTACTTAAAATATATGAAAGTGACAACTAAAAAATATATCCACATCTTTTTCCTATCTCCTCTCAATTTTGGGTACTTCAAGGGCATATACATTTTAAAGGTATCATCCCACTTCATTTGCAATTAATGAAGAGGAAATATATTTTATTAGATGAATGTGTGTGAAGACTAGTACAGTGATAATGTGAGGTCAAAGGAATGCAGATTCAAGAGATTATTCAGAAGGAAAACAAATGCTGTGATTCTTGAAACAATCATTGTGATTCTGCCATCAGACTCTCTTTCATCATTAAATTAGGGATAAGGTACAAATTTGTATGGCCTGCATTTCTAAATAGCCAACTTAAGTTGCATTTTACAGAGTGATAAGTGACTGACTATGTGCTTCTTGGAATTTTGTGAAGCAGTTCTCTTGTTTCAAAAATTGTGTACAAACATATGAATGCTAAGAAAAGTTACATAAACTTGTGTGTGAAAATAAATGTACATTAAAAAAAATCCCACTGATGTGGAAACTGGATGAGACATATCCAATCAAATTATGATTGAATACATGCAAAACTGATAGAATAGGAAGGAGACTGATTTTTACATTAAACAAACCCTCTCTCTTTTTCAAAGCTGTACTGATAGCATATGATGTATATTTGTTTCTGAAAAGCCAACCCACCTCGGAGAGATACAACTCTGGTTGCTTTGCAATTGGAGATTATGTTGGTGCATGCTGAGTGCTTGTTTCAGTACATACAAAATGCCACAAGAGAACTGCAGAAACAGATGACATAAGGATTTCTCACCCTGTCTCCAGCAGGAGATCTCCCTAATCTGATAGAAACTTGTTTGGCCTTCTTTGACATTGCATAGATGATTTGCCTGAAGGGGAAACCACATGTTCACTTTGAATTTTGCTACAGGTAAAATCTAGCAGCAACCTGGGGATGCATAGAACTCCCCTGATAACTTTTTAGAGTGCTATCAAAACACTTGCATTCACTTTCATTTCCCTTGAGGTTCCTCAGATATTTAGCCTTGGATTCTTGCTTCAAGTTTAACTGTAGTTGATATTTCAATGGAGCCACTATAACAAGTGGCCTATGAACCATTTATAGTTTCTGTTGAAGAATGTCTACAACTCCTTGTGGTCAGATCTCAAAGTCTTAAGAAGGATCCAGGCTACTTCATGATGCTATGAAGAACTGGATCTTCTCTTTTCATGCCTCTTTGGCCAATATAGTGAAGTATGCTGATACATTTTACAGAATTCACGCTCCCAGAACTGCTATTAAATTCAGGGTTTCATTTATTTTGGTACGCTGAGCAGCAGATTGAATTTGAGATCAGTTGATAAATAACATTGCAATACCAAAGGCATTTTCCCTGCCAAATTCTTTCTAAGACAGCTGAAGGATAGTGATGTATAGCAGTGAAACATAGATTTCCCTCTCTGCTGCCTCTCTGTGGTTTAGTTCTGAAAGAATAAATTATATGACTGATATCCAAATGCATTTCAGAATTCCACAGGAGGGCAGCCTTCTCCCAAGCTAAGCTATAGCAAGGGGGAGGGGGAATAATTATGTTTGTAAAAGAATCAAATGCAAACTGGTATTTAAAAGCTGCTGCATTTAAAAATCCTAAATGAGAACAACTACCTAGGAAAACTGCATGGCTTTTTGAGTGCAAAGATGCACTTCTCAAGTTTGTTGTTGTTGTGTGCCTTTTTCCTGTTTCTGTTGTCTAGTGATCACTAAAGTGAATCTGTGTGCATTTCTGACTTATGGCAACCCTAACCTGACCCTGTCATGGGA